GTATGTATCTATGTATGTGTATGTATGTATGTATGTATGTATGTATGTATGTATGTATGTCGTATGTATGCATGCATGCATGCATGCATGTATGCATGTATGTATTAGGGGTTTCCTCTAACAGTAACTCTTTACAGGGTTTGGGGACCATAAAATAACAGTTATCCCGGGATAAAATAACAGTTATCCCTGCCATAAAATAACAGTTATCCCCAGGATAAAATAACAGTTATCCCGGCCATAAAATAACAGTTATCCCGGATAAAATAACAGTTATCCCTGCCATAAAATAACAGTTATCTCGGATAAAATAACAGTTATCGCTGCCATAAAATAACAGTTATCCGGGCCTTAAAATAAGCCTGACCCCTACATTAGACTAATGCTTACCTGTGGCAGAAACACTACAGAACCCACAAGTACTTATCGTCAAGATCCCATCAAACCTCAAAGAACAATACCCCGAAACCGTAACATATCTCAAGTAGAACTGAAGGGCATCCCCACTAATTTATCCAACAAAAAGAGAACAGCACATCTGAACTGTGACGGAAAATCACTAATGCCGAAATGCCTAATCGTTGCCCTCCTCAAAGTTGAAAAGCCCAAGCTCCTATTGCACGTTGCCAATGTGTCTTTCTAGATTTAGTCTACATAGCCCATGCACAGCATTATGCATAGCCATGGGCCATAGCATATCTATCATATATCATATAATCCTATAATTGATCATATATATATATATATCAATCTCATACAATCTTCGTCCTGAAACGAGACGAGAGCCAATAACAACAGAAGAAGTTGACCCACTACATCAAAGATGCATGTCAATACCTGGATTATGTCGAGATATTACTACAATATACAATATCACATAACTTAACGGGCTGCATGGCCTGGGCGATGTTGACTCGTTGAGCCTCCAGCCATAAACCGCTTGAAAGGGTTATGGTCGGGTCCGTAAGCCCGTAATTACAATTACTATTATTTACGATGCTACCTAACATTAATGACTTAATAAGCATGATTTTCTACCGACTAGGATCGAAATGAAATGACTTTTGCTTTCTTATGTGACCCTCTGAAAAGACGAAAGCCCGATCTCAGCACTGATGTTTTCCATGCCTCGGATTCGTCGAACAGCCAAGCTCCACAAGCCCGGGTGCTTGCATCTTGCCCTGCTCTGGGTTCATAATCACATGTGACCTGATGCATGTGGTTTCATCCTGGCCTAAAATCTACATACTCGGCTTTATGACCCCAATTATTAGATGATCTAGCTAAGTCTGGCTACTCACCTCATCCCTCCACATGCGGCCTTACTTGACTGCCTTGGCCTTGCCACTCAAAATCTCTGTACATCGCTGAGTGAGGCTCGCATGCAGTTTCCATTGGCGCTTTTTGATCCCAGACATCGCCTTGTTCACAAGGTTTGTCCGGGTTTCGCCAGTTTTGAGATCTCTTGTCATTGCTTGCACCATAGTACAATTAGCCAGCATGGAACAAATGGATTGCAAACACACCTGATCTCCCGACTCGTGCGTCCCGGTGAATTCCTGGATGGTCTGAATTACGGCCTTGGCCGTCACCGTCGTGACTTCAAACCCTGACATGTCAAGGGAGCAACTTCCCAACAAAGTAGCTGCACCACTGATCCCAATCATGACCTGCTTCAGCCCTGTAAAGCTATCGATGCCAAAGTTCAGGAAACGGTAAATCTTCTGCACGGACTCATCCAAGCACATGGAAGCACCAAGTTTCCCATCCAAGCTGCTGTCGTCGAGCGAAGCTTGGAACTCGGCACGGACCGTCACTTTGGCATAGGAATCGACCAAACCAGAAATGATGGTCTTGACATCTTCTTGCACCACGTCGATCACCTTGCCGAGCAGCTGGGGAGCCCTGTTCGCAGACGATGCCACAAACTTACGTGCCATGTCGTGACGTGTTGTTTCGGCAGCCTCGTATGCAACCCGCAAAGTGTGCATAAACTTTGCAGTCTCATGAGCTTTCTCACCCAGCATGTGCATGCGGCTTTTGGCATAGAAGCCGGCAACCTCGGCAGGATTTGTCGGGCAGGAGTCAAACACAACCCCCCCAGCAGGCATGGATCGGAACTCTTTCGCCCATGTGGCGAAATGCACGATCATCTTCGCTAAGGGTAGGCATGCCCCCGCCGCACATATCGATGCTGCAGAGATGGCCGTGGATTCTCCCGAAGGAGCAATGAATTCGACACACACAAAATCCTCCGGAAGGTACTTGCCGTACAACTTGTACATCCCAATGTAATCTACAACCACCTTGTCATCATCTCCCTGAAACTCCCCGACAACGTCCTGCACCAAGCCCTCCTCGTTGCATGAGCTCGAGAGAAAGGCCGTGAACTGCAAGAAGCTGGAAGCTTCTTTGGCGAGGATCTTCCTTATCTCTTCCCGTTCTCAGTTCTACTCATCCAACCAGAAGAGTTATCCAAGAGAAGGGGGGCCGAGAAGTCAACAAGAAGCTGTGACTATGCCCTACTAACATGCCACTACCTAAAGAAATTGCACACTTATCTGCCAAGGGGCAAGGACTAATCTACATTAGGACATGCAGCCGTGCACATACGACTCATACAACATGTAAAATGAGTCGTTGTATTGTTGGCATACTTTGCTGTTCAAGTCTATGTCCTTTCTAGACAGAGGAAATGAATGAGTCTTTCCTGCATAATAAGACATCCAGACCTATGATTATGAAATAGATGACGACCCATAGACTCATAGAGAAACCAGAAATGCCATCCTATACTAGTGATACAAGTTATATAACTATCTTAAATTACATATTGATATCATATCCTCATATCCCCCTAGCTGATGGTGCTTATGACAATGACTCCACAAGGCAGTAACAAGAAGCATACCACGAACAGAGGCGAAATCGCATAAGAGACACATTTTTTAATAACCTTGTTTTCCGTACCCTGCATAGGCTGCATGCTTTACTTCTTCAGTTCTTCAAACTGCTGGATTAACCTAAGGACTTATGCACCTGATGGATTCATTGAATCTGACAATTTTAGATAACATGCTGGGTCTGGTATTGGTGCTGCGGGCCCAGTAGTAACTAGTAACTATGACATACAATCCAAATCTATCTGGGGAAGATACACCGAAAGCCGACACTGGGGACTCTGAGAACTGTAAATATGACTAGAGCTACGACCATAACCTTCGACCCTCAACTAGAACCTTGCAATGCTTCTGACAAAAAGTGGCAAACCAATGGGGCTAGAAACCTATCCTATCTATTGCGAAATCCCCGCTTGTCTATATATAATTTATAGCCATAGCAGATAAACTAAATTACAATGTCGGGATGCAACAGAATCTAGACTCTGGACGAGCTTTTATAGTACAAAGTCAGTTCGAGCAGTATATAATCTAAATAGATATGATCTGATATAATTTGATATAATAATATATAAGTTCTAAGTTATTACTTTATATAATATAATGTATATAATATATTTATATATGTGTATATAGTTTGTATTACATAGTTATGATTTATAAATATATTTTAAAAATTATGAATAGTCGGTATAGTAGTTATATTAGGCCTCTAAACTATGAAACCATATCGCTCATATCACCAATTGCCACCCAAACTCATAGCACTTCGCCGCATGGTATCGCCAATCTTCATGATCTGCGAGCCCACGTCCACACAGATCTTCTGCACAAGCTGCATCTTCGATGGGTCGTTGTAGATCTCCATGAGGGCAACCAGGTCGGAACATAGCAGCCTCGGCACAGCACAGGCCGCTGAGGCTGGGCATGTTAGGCCAACAACTGCCGGGACAACAGCAGCGAAGCGGGTCCAGAATGTACGTGTCTCCTGGAGTGCCTCCTGGATGGGGGCTGCCCAAGCTCCCAAACACTTGCTGAGCACATTTGCCTGCATAGGATTGAAACTCTTTGCTTCATTGATTTGCTCCACCAGACGGGCGGTGAGGTCGGTGTCCATCTGGCCCGTGGCAAGGGTGTCCAAGGAATGTGCAAGGTTTTCCCCAACACTCTTGCGGAACTTATGCACGGAGGCACCGAGAATCGCATTCTGGAGCTCGGTGATCTTGAGGGTGACGATCCTGATCTGCTCCTCGTTGTCCTGCAGGAACAGCTTTGAACCCAACTGCTGAAGCATAGAGAACTTCTGCACCATTTCCACAACCTTGTTCAACCCTGGAATCGCTATCTCCAGGGAGTCCGCCTTGAAGAGAGCATCAGTAGAGAAGGTTTTCAGCTGAGTAGCCAGCTGAACACACTGCCCCAAATCTGCTTTGAGGCTCTGATCTCTGAGGAACACCTCCACACGAGAGTTCGCCTTCTGTTGCACGAACTGACCCAGTGGCCACAAAGTCATGGATTCAGCGAAGTTATTCTTTTTGGCCAACAAGTGACTCCTGCTAGCCTTCAATTCTTCAACCTTATCCGCCGTGGTGGCTTCGCCCTCGTCTGCAATAGCAGAGCAAGCCAAGATATGCAACTTGCTGATGTCATCAAGCCATTGAACTATCTGAACACAATCCTGCTGATGCTCGGCCCAATCCTCACAAACCTTGCTCTGCTTGAACCCGTCGATAAAGCTCAGCAGCAGCTTCGTGCGATCCACAGCCACATTTTGCATCGCCTCAGAAAGATTCAGGACACGATTTGATTCTTCGGCCGAATCATCAATGGATCATATATATCAATCATATCTTATGGACGGGCCCCTCTGAGCATTCGTTTACTGCCCGGTGACATCGCCTATATTAGCCCATATTATATGCTATATGTGTGATTTAAATAACTAACAACTATAAAATGGCCCGGTCAGGTGAATAGGATCTCATAATGTTGCTTAATCTAGGACGGAACAACGAGCTCCCCGGACAGTCAACTATTTGACTGCCAACAACAAAATATGGCTTAATTGTACAAACTGAAAGTTATTTAGATCTTGTCATCGCTCAAATTCCTGTAAATATATAATATTATATAATATATAATATAAGTTATATAATTCATATAATCCAAGGATTCCAAGGATGATATAGGAGGGGATCATATCCGGCTTCAGAACTAGCCCTGAGCGCCACAGAGCCGGGATTCGTAACTAAGGATACTCAGATTACATTTTAGCTACGGCTTATAGGCTTTTCTAAGTTATTGACTTTGTTGAATCACAGCAATAGCCATGGGCCATGGCCATTGCCAGAGGCCATAGCCATGGCACATGGCCTTTCAGTATGGCCACCATCGGCTATAGGCTATATCATGGCTACACCTACAGAATAGAATGAGAATACTCACAATTCACAATGTATGCACGATTTATAAGTTGATATGTCTAATTCATAATAACTAACTAATAATTCATAATGGTTTAGTTAGTTGGGTTATTACTTATTACTCGTTAATTATAAGTCATAGTTGTTAGTATGAACTAATTTATTAGAAATTAGAAACATACAACGAATATCATCTAAAATAATGGACTTTCTCGGCATCCTATCCCGCCCGCCTCAAACTCCGCTGTAACAAGTCGGACATTCCAAGCTTAGTGCTTAATCCCAACGGCCCCATACGAATACCAAAACCATTCATTCTCAATCTTATCAAGTCAACCCCGGCCCGTCAAGCCCTATACGACACACGATAGGCAACCAAGCAACGACACATCGTTTCGCTTCTCTCTGTTCCTTCTCCTCGACCGAAATACTTCCAGCCTCTTTGATTTCCTTGCCGAAGTTCTCAAAGCCTGGGGCCTCCAACTCCGAATTCAAGATATTGTTCACAGCCGATTTCAAGCTGCAAAAGAGGAACTCGGTCATGCCATCCTTGTCCTCCTTGAACATCCCCTTCAGCTCCGATGACTCAATGGCACGAAAGAACTCATCGTGTTTGCCGTTCTTGGCATGTTGCAACAACAAACGAGCCATGCAAAGCTTTTCAGCCTCGCCCGAGATCTCCAAACCCGCATCTCGGGCTTCTTGCAGCCCTTCCATCATCGTCTCCGCTGTTGCCTCCTGGTCTCTGAAGGCAGAAACGAACTGACACATAGGGGCGATCTCCGTCAAGGCTTGGGCCAGCCTCTTCATGATCTGGCAAGCTCGCCCATCCGTCTGCCCATTCGCGAGGTCACGGTAAATTTTCTGAAGCTCGGGTGCATTCCGGGAATGGAGCTTCTCCGAGTGGCCGGTGATCTTCTGGAAGCTGAGGCTCATGAAGGTGGAGTCCTGGGCGAGGTACTTCTTGAAGTTCTCGTGCTGGCCAAGAATTTTTTCGCTGGCATCCAGCCCCTTCAGGTCCTTCTGCTGGGATTTCCCCGTGCCCTTCTTCTGGGACCCGGGTACCTTCATCCCAAACAACCACGATGCAGACTGGCCGAATCCAGAACCTGGGGTGTACTCGGCATTGGAAGAGGTGTCGGTGCTTGGAAAGAACCCGTCGCCCACAGTCAAGGATTGGTTCTTTGCTGCTGATGTCCTTGGTTTCTTGACAGGCTTGTTTTCATTGTCCTCCTTGTCGGCCTTGTTTGTCCGCGAACTTGAAGCACTGCCAGAGGTCAATGACGACACCCCCCAAACCTGCATGAAGTCATCGTCGTCAGCATCAACCTTGACCTCAGCATCAACCTTGGCCCGCTTGGGGTTCTTAAGAATGATGCCAGCCTCGGAACCGTCCTCCGTGGGCTCTTGGTCCACAGCTTGCAGCCTCAGACCTGCACCCAAGTCCTGAAACACCTTGTCTGCTTGCTCTACTTCATCAGCCTCACAGTCGGCTGCAAGCTGACTCCGCACAGCTTGGGTGTCCGACGTCTCGTACACCTCCACTGTGCCGGCAGCGAAAGATTCTCGCAGCACTCCTTGGACCATCTTCCCCATGTGGCTGATGCTCTGCTTCGGAAGAGACTTCCATAGGTGACTGAGCTGATGTTTCTGGAGAAGAGACTCCGTCCACAAATAGCCCAGCAAACGACGGGTCTGCATGCCTTGCCGGGTTTCTGCTAGCACACTCGTGGCCTTCTCGCCACGATACCGCTTGCCGTCACGTCTGCTCTGTTCGTATTCCTGAAGATCCCGCTGGTAGCTGTCGGGGTCATCCTCGATGGCCTTGTTGATTTGCTTGGCTGACAAGCCTTTGAACTTCGGGCACACGGCAACGAACGAATAGCAGCTCTGGCAGTTTGCAGTTGTACCCCGTCGCTGCAACATATCCCCTTCTTGAGGAGAGGCTACCGTTGGATTGGGCACCTTGCCGAAGGCTCTTTTGCACCGGGTGCAATTTGTGGCGGTGGGGCGGGGCATTGTTGAAACAAGCGAAGCTGCTATGGCAAAACGGCGAGAACCTAGCTGCTACACCTGTCGAGAGAAATCTTGCATATCACCAGATCAGCATACTCAGCATCAATGCGGCGACATCAATATGTTGCGAATCTATGGGCTTTCCAATGCAGCAGGAACAAAGAAGCAGCACAGCTCAGATCTCCTATGCGATTCGACAGCATTAGGAAGCACACCACTCTCTGCGATTCCGGGAGCTGCAACCTTGATCTTGTTGTCGCACACAATCCACAATCGATTGGTCTTTGCCACGAAACACAACAGACATGATGTGCAGCAGCACGGCCCTCTCTATGTATCTAAGAGAGATCACAGCCGGGCTACTCGAGTGGGAACTATGGACTCTGTACACAGGACTCTGCACAAGACTGGTGAGCTACATATCCCCACGAGCACAGCATAGCCGCACAGTGGATAGGGGCGAATAATCTAAAATCAATATTATCTAAAAATCTAAAGAAGCAGCGATTCAAAGAATCAGTAGTCACTGTACAAGTCGCTACCCCTATCATCAGAAGAAGCCCTGAAACCCGCCACAATCTCCACGGTGCTTCAGCCGCAACCACCCGCCGGCCCTATCAAGTAGCTGAAGTACAGGTACAAGTAGAAGCCACGACTCCAAAGTCCAATGATGCCCTCTTCGGTGTGCAGCTAAAAGCGCCACGGCCCCGCTTGAACTCCATCTGATTTCGGAATCTAAACTACTTCTCAGGGATCATGGAACCATCTAGTGAATCTAGCCTTCAACCGCACAATCACGAACGAGAACTGACGTGTCTTGCTGTGGTTGAGTCACTCCTGACTTCTGCTGTCGGCTGTCGTGGATCAAGGATATGGTGGTTCAGGTTACTGCCTTCTTAAAAAGTTCCTACCTCTATCATTGTCTATCATAGGTCTATCATCCCTTGTATCGAAGAAAAATATTTTACATTATATTATATAATGTAAAATAACTTTCTTCGATACAAGGGATGATAGACATATGATAGACAATGTATATTAAATTATATCAACCACAACCTCCAGACTCTCAAGACCCAAGAATCAGAACATCAGAACACACCACAGTAAATCCGAATGCGAACAAAGCTTGCTTAGGGTGGGGTGTCTGGAAGATCTCGAATCTAGAGGGCTTCGAATGGGCTTGTGAAGGCCTGTTCGGGGGGCCTGGAAGGGTTCTAGAAGGGCCCCGCAAAACGGTTTGGGGGGGTTGTCTGGGGGTCTGGGGGGGGGTCTGGGGGGGGGT